TTTTGGGGAACCAACTTTCACTTGATTTTTATTTTGGGGAACCAACTTTCACCTGATTCTTATTTTGGGGAACCAACTTTCAAAATCGTCATTTTAGGGAACCAACTTGGACTTGATTCATATTTTGGGGAATCAACTTTCAAAATCGTCATTTTGGGGAACCAACTTGCACCTGATTYCTATTTTGGRAAACCAACTTGCAAAATAATTATAGAAAAATAACTAAAATTCATTTCTTTTCAAAAATTAATGCAATAAAATATATTTTTCATTTCAAATCTCGTTTTTTTAAATTCAGATATCAAATTGAAGATTTTTCGAAAAAAATCCAAATTACCACGATAAAAATTGTTTTTTACTAATGCAATAAAAAATCAATTTAATAGAAAAAAATTAATTGATGCAACAAAAAATAAATATTAAATATCACATTCAAGATTTTTATATTAACCAATCTGTGTCAATATTAAAGTTTAAATCAAATTTGGCAAATCCAACCAAAAGTTTGATAGAGACCCTTAAATTATTTGTTACATGTTCAACAGATCAATTATGACTCTTAAATAAACAAAGAGTTCGATAGAGACCCCTAAATGACGATTTTAAAAGTTGGTTCCCCAAAATAGRAATCARGTGAAAGTTGGTTCCATTTTGGTGTAATTTTCCCATTTTTCTATAATTATTTTGCAAGTTGGTTCCCCAAAATAGGAATTAGGTGCAAGTTGGTTCCCCAAAATGGCGATTTTGAAAGTTGGTTCCCCAAAATAGGAATCAGGTGAAAGTTGGTTCCCCAAAATGACGATTTTGAAAGTTCGTTCCCCAAAATAGGAATCATGTGAAAGTTGGTTCCATTTTGATGCAATTTTCCCTAATTATTATCTTTATAAGAAAATTATATTATTAAACCAAATATAAATTACTTCGTCGTTGTATCTAAATTAAGTTATAATAAAAAATTGAATTAAAAAATTATACAATAAATGATGAATTTTAAATAGTTAATTTGATACGAATATCGATATATTTTTGTTATGCATAAAGTACTGTATATTGATGCATATTACTTAAAATTTAAGATTACAAGTAATTATGCATAAGTACAACTTATTAAAGCTCGATATTTGAATTCATATAAATAAATGTGGATAAACATAATCAAATAGATGATGAACATCTCATTTTAAAATATATAAAATCTAAAATATAATTAGAATAATTATCGAGTTCCAACAAA